TTCATAGTGTTGCTGAAAATGTTAATGTGAGGTATTCACCTATTCAATATGTGAATCCTGAGAATTACAAGTACGTTGGTGATGATGATGTTAGTACATATCTTAATTACGTGGGTGGTCGTTGTGTTAATGTTCCCGAACAAGAAGTTAAAGTTATGAATAGGGGTGTAGTAGATAAAAGTAAAAAGAAAAAAGTTATGATTCAAAAAAATGAAAATTTACATGCTTACAGGGATTATGTTGATGTCGTTGATATAGCTTTAGATATAACCGACTTAGAAAGCAATTCTGATGGAGATGAGTTGGGTGATGAAGTTAAAGCTAAGTTTTCCGATAACCTTTTTTACGGTATGCCCCCTGTAGCATCATGTCCAGTTGATGTTAATGAAGATATCCCAGCACAGATTGTAAACATCAATGTTCAAAAGATTGAATGTTTTAGTATATTTAAGAACAAATATCTTCTAAAACGGGCGATTGAGAAAAAATGTCTTCGAGAAGGTTTTCAGACGAGGACAAGTAGATCGACCAAATCAAGGTACGAGGTTGTGTGTGTTGGGAAAAATTGTTCTTGGTTACTAAGAGCAAATGGAATTAAAAATTCTGACGGACTTTTCCAAGTGAAAAAAAATTTGTTGACGTACACACATGTTCTTCAACAATTTTGCGACCTAATCATCGACAAGCAAACAAATACCGTAAGTTTTCCGATAACCTTTTTTGCGACCTAATCATCGACAAGCAACAATTTTGCGACCTGATGGAGATGAGTTGGGTGATGAAGTTAAAGCTAAGTTTTCCGATAACCTTTTTTACGGTATGCCCCCTGTAGCATCATGTCCAATTGATGTTAATGAAGATATCCCAACACAGATTGTAAACATCAATGTTCAAAAAATTGAATGTTTTAGTATATTTAAGACAAATACCTTCTAAAACGGATGATTGAGAAAAAATGTCTTCGAGAAGGTTTTCAGACGAGGACAAGTTGATCGACAAAATCAAGGTACGAGGTTGTGTGTGTTGGGAAAAATTGTTCTTGGTTACTAAGAGCAAATGGAATTAAAAATTCTGACGGACTTTTCCAAGTGAAAAAAATTTGTTGACGTACACACATGTTCTTCAACAATTTTGTGACCTAATCATCGACAAGCAAACAAATATGTTTTGGGTGAAAATCTTGCTGATGTTTTGGCTGAAGATTATAGTAGAGTATATCAGGGACAATATATTATTAATGATATGAATGCTCAATTGAAAATCAATATATCATACCATCAAGCTTGGCGTGCGAAGCAATATGCGTTGTTGTTGTTAAGGGGTACGAAAGATGATTCTTTTACCAAACTTCCGGCTTATTTCCACAATTTGGTCAAACATAATCCGGGTACGGTGACACATATTCAAACAAATGGTGATGATCGGTTTGAGTTCTTGTACGTCACACTTGGTTGCTCGGTTAATATTATTATATTTTATTACTATTATTTTTAATTTGGTGTATTTGAATAGATATACAATGTATTGTAGGTACGTGCTTTTGTCAATTTTTGTAAGCCGACCCTTGTTGTAGATGGAGTCCACCTAAAGGGCGAGTTCAAAGGTACCATGTTTCTTGTAGTTACTAAGGACGGACGAAACCAAATATTACCGGTTGCATATGGTATATGCAAAAATGAGTGTACAGATTCTTGGACATGGTTTTTTCAAAAACTACGTGATTGCATAGGCAATATGGAGGAGCTTACAATTATATCTGATAGGTCTCCATCTATAGCGACATATGTTGCCAACATTTTTAATTTCCTCACACTCATCACGGTATGTGGTGTCCATTTGTATTTCAACATAGTAGCTAGATACGGGAAGAGTAAGACAATTAAATGAATTTTTTGGGAGGCTTGTAGAGCCTATACAGTTGATGGTTTTGATTCTGCCATGGACCTTATGAAAAAGACAAAAGAACCGGTATAAGAATACTTAAACAGTATAAATCCTGAAACTTGGTCTAGGACACATTTTAGAGGGAACCGATACAATCTTATGTCGTCCAACAGTGCGGAGTCTATAAATGCATTATCTAGACACGCACCTAAGGTGCCGATACTGATATTGATCGAGTTTTTTCGTGCAACAATGCAACAGTGGTGGTTTCAAAGATGTAACTTTGCAGGTACTAAGTTTTAATATTAATTTTTTTGTTAAATGTTATTGATCTTAACTGTGTAATTTTGTCTATTTTTTAAGCGGAAGCAACAACAACACTCATCCCTTTGGGCTGATGATATTGTAAAAAGAAAATAAAAATTCTTTTAGTAATTGGGATGTTTGCATGATCTTAAGTAAGAAATGCGAGGTCAAAAAGGGGGCACAAGACGTGATTGTTGATTTCAAACAAATGACATGTACATGTAGGCATTGTCAACTTGACAACATACCTTGTGGTCATGTCATAAGAGCATTAACAGTCAACAATTACCAAGATTGCTCGATGTTTGCATTAAATGCTTACTATACCGAAACATCGAGGAAAACATATGAGGAATCAGTAAACCCTTTGCCAAAGCCACCCGAATGGGAGATCCTCGATGATTTAATGATTGTTAAGCCACCTATAATGGATAAACGCCATCCAGACAGGCCAAGAAACACAGACCACATTCCATCCCTAGGCGAGGGCCCAATTAGAAAAGAGTGTTCTACATGCGGTCAAGCAGGACACACGAGAAACAATTGTTATGGAAGGGCTTCCGGTAGTGGAGCACGTCGCACGAGAATTCCTACTACAGAAACGACATTTAATATTGGGGCTTCTGCGAGTTGGTCACAAAAATCTATCACGCCGATTTTGATATAAAACAACCTTAAATTGAAGAGCTGTTAATTTATTATGTATTGTAATGTTTTTATTAAATTTTCTAAGATGTTGTTATGCTTTTATATTTTAATTTAGTTTGAACATTATAACAACAAATGAAGCTTTTATATTCTAAGATGTTGTTATGCTTTTATACTTGGAAATAAACGGTAAACAAACTTGTTAATCTAAAAAAATAGCAAACCCAAGTCATGATAATGTTACAACAATTTTGTAACTAATTATTAAACTCAGGGAACTGCAATGGGTACTTCTCTTTCTCGATTGTTATATAGTTATCCTTAATTCTCATTTTATCTTCCAAACGAACTTTTTGCACGCTAAGATGTATCATATCTGCATCCTTGTCAGCAAGCCATTTTTCAGTCATTTTGATTGTCTTCTTAGTCTTTTTTATCCATTCTTGATGCTCTTTGATTTTCTTTTTATTGAGATCTATCCATTCTTGATGCTATTTGATTTTCTTTTTATGGTGTACTTTTTGCACGCTAAGATGTATCATATCTGCATCCTTGTCAGCAAGCCATTTTTCAGTCATTTTGATTGTCTTCTTAGTCTTTTTTATCCATTCTTGATGCTCTTTGATTTTCTTTTTATTGAGATCCACCCATCTAAGTTCTCAGCAAAAAAAAAAAATCAGTCTTGTGGCACACAATCATTTGCTTCTTTTCCCAATAAGCTTTCACACAAAACGTATATCAAACATGCTCTAACTGCATCATCGTCGGGTAGCTGCTAAGAATGTCTGATTTAAAATATAACTTTTCAAATCACTAGTTTTCACCGAACTATTAGTGTGGTTCGGAAAGAGATGTTCCCGCAATAAACATCTTTTTTGACTACTAAATTTTTTTTTCTGAAACTTTTTTTTCCAATCATTTTTGGATACTCTCCAAAATTAAACCCAGTTATCAAACAAAACTCTTCTGGGCCATAAACCATTTTAGTATCCCCCAATTTAAAATACAACCGATTTATGCCATATGGGGATACTACTACGTTTGGCCGTAACTGATGAAGAAACATCTTATGAAACAACAACCTGTCCCCTTGTAATTGAGCGACATCCAACAAGTAACCAAAAACCGTGTTTCTAAAAATTTCACGTCGCTCTCCATGCAATACTTCAAATATTTGTCATATATTACACCCCGATCCTTTTAGGTTGACAACAGCTTTAACATTTAAATTTCATGTCGCAATCCAACATGTTACAAATTATATTATTGTAACAAAAAACTCAACAACTTAAAAACTATTATATTTTAAAGAATTCGGAAAAAATTCCGCAATTTAAATCACAAAATAAATCAAATATCTATTTACAACCAGGATAAATAATCCAATTTAAATCACAAAATCAACAAAAAATCTATTTATAAGCAAGAAATTTATAAACATTTTTTATAACAATACCAATTAAAAAAAATATTTTTTGATAAACTATATGTACATCATGTACAACATCAATATGCAAAGGTACAACATCATCAAACATATATCAAAAAATTCATATTATTAATCATATTAACAAAAATGTACAACCACATAATGCATATTTCACGCAATACACACTTGTACAATCATACATCTACTTATCAAATACCATCAAAACCTCAAGACTACTAATAAAATCTATTAAGTATCAATATAACACATAAATCTAAGAAAATACAATAATAAAACACAATAATAAGGCCTAAATTGATAAATGATGTTTAAAACACAAAACAAGTAAAGATCTTACCATATTATCATGATCGTTCATGAAATCGTCCATAATTGAAGGCGGGGTAAGAAAATCACTTCTCAGAGAGAGTTTTCCAAAAAAAAAGAGTAAAAAATGAACAAAAAAATACGTTTTTATAGTTGGGCGAGGGCTTGGTTCGCAGAGGGACTACGTACAAGTCGTTGAAGCACGACTGTGGTTTAGCAGCTTGTACGTTCGCAGATGGACCTAGCTTAAGCACCTGCGAAACTGATGGTTATTTTTGCAATTTCGCTTTTTTTTTTTTTTTTTTTTTGCTATTTTCCACAAATTACTTATGGTATTTGGTTAAATTTTGCTTTTTTGGTATCATTTTCCAACACATCGGAGCTTACCAATAAAATATGTGGGTGTCTCTCTTATTGAGCTGTTGACTTCCCTCAGTTTACAAATCACAACTGTCCGAGAGTAGTAGGAGGAGAGAGAGAGAGAATGGGGTGGTTTCCATGCTCTGGACATTCAAAGCCAGCATCAAAGAAGAAGAAGAGGAAGAAGAATCGCTCACTCGATCCGATTCAACCCTCCTCAGGTATTCCATCTATATCTGCTTCTTCTCCAAGTTTTCGTTTCCCCTTTTTTGCCGGAAAATCGCAAGAAAATTCGATGTAATATCATTATTTGAATCATCTTCTGATGATTTTACGGTAACCATTTCATATAAGTTGTTAATTTCTCTGATTTTTTGGAGTTTAAAGAAGATTATACCTACCGATTCTACCTGCTTCTCTTGCTTTTCATTATCTAAATTGTGTTATTAGGTTTTCCTTAAGAATAATTAATTCGAATATTGTACGCCTTCTTATAGACATATTCTTGTTCCTTTTCTTCTTCTTTTGACTTCAAATTCATTCCATTTTGTGTGTGTACAAGTGATTAAATAATGATATGCAAATCAACTGAGAATTGAGAAACCTTCAGCTATGTTTTATAACTCTATTACACATCGGTTCAATTCCTAAACTGAATGCTGTTCTCTTGAGCTATATGCATAATATTTTGCCTCAAGCAGTTCGTATTTCATATGTGTTTGACTGTTTATTGTTCTTTGTGTCTCACATACACATCTTTAAGTGAGCATTAGGTCAAATCCATCATTCAAAACAAAGGAAGGAGCGATCAAAGATGGGGGATCAGGTCATATTGCTGCTCAAACATTCACATTCCGTGAACTGGCAGCTGCAACTAAAAATTTCAGGGGTGGTGATTGTCTTCTCGGAGAAGGAGGCTTTGGTAGAGTATATAAAGGCCGACTTGAAAGTTCTAATCAAGTCAGTTCAATTTCATTACACATGAAAAAATGCATTTTCACTTTCATTGTAAATCTGTATTCATAGTTTTCCATTTATGTAGATTGTAGCCATTAAGCAACTGGATCGCAATGGACTTCAAGGAAACCGTGAATTCCTAGTAGAAGTGTTGATGTTAGGGTTACTTCATCACCCAAATCTTGTTAACCTAATTGGTTATTGTGCTGATGGAGATCAAAGACTGCTGGTTTATGAATACATGCCTCTTGGATCTCTTGATGACCATCTCCATGGTACAAACACACACACACACACACAGACTGACAGACACAGACATTTAAATAAAAGACGAAAATACCCTTTAGTTTCCAATGATGATGGACTCATAATTCCTGTGTTGTTGCAGATCCGTTACCTGGGAAGAAACGAGTGGATTGGAATACAAGAATGAAAATTGCTGCTGGAGCTGCGAAAGGGCTGGAATATCTTCATGATAAAGCAAGTCCACCTGTAATATATCGGGATTTAAAATGCTCAAATATATTACTTGGGGAAAATTATCATCCAAAACTTTCTGATTTTGGGTTAGCAAAACTTGGGCCTGTGGGGGACAACACACATGTGTCGACACGTGTGATGGGTACATATGGATACTGTGCTCCGGAATACGCGATGACTGGACAATTAACCCTAAAATCAGACGTGTATAGCTTTGGTGTTGTCCTTCTAGAGATTATCACAGGCCGAAAAGCAATTGATAATTCCAAAACAGGAGGCGAGCAGAATTTGGTTGCATGGGTAAGTCATTAGTCATCCCAATTCCCAAACAAATCATTTGTCTGTTGAAAACACGGTAGGCCAATGCATATTAAATTGAGGAATGCTAATAATTTAATGTGCTGATATTGTTGTCTCTGCATCATGTTACTTAAAGTCTCATGTCACATCACATCAAAAGCATGTAAAAAGTAAAATTGTAAATCTAATTTTTTTTTTGTAATATTATTATTTAGGCAAGACCTTTGTTTAAAGACCGAAGAAAGTTTTGTCAGATAGCGGATCCATCACTTGAGGGCCAGTACCCAACACGGGGTCTGTTTCAGGCTCTTGCGGTTGCAGCCATGTGTGTCCAGGATCAACCCAACATGCGACCGGTTATAGCCGATGTGGTTACAGCCTTGACCTATCTTGCTTCACAGAAATACGACCCGGTTTCAAACCCAAACCCAAACCCAAACCCACGGTGGTCACCTTCCACTCCCCCAAGATCAAAACGTGACAATCATAAAAAACAGGGTGGCAGTAGCGGCGGCAGTAGTGGTGGCAGCGGCAGTGTGAGCACCAGTGGATCTGAGAAAAATCACACCAAAAATTTCTTTTAAGGTTTTGGAGTTTCATCATCATATCATATGTATGTTGAGTCCCACTTTATCATCTTGCTGTACAGTAGTTATATAATTATATTAGATACGTGTATATTTACATATTTATTAATTTTATAAAGACAAACAGCATCTGGTTGATTTATATGTCATAAAGCTTTGTACTAGTGGACACTGGACAGGTATATCTATTTTCTACTGGAATATCAGTTGTTACTTTGTTTTTATTGTTTTTCTTTTTAAGTTGTATGTGTTGACAAATGGTTTTACTTATAGGCATGTTTATATTATTCTTAAGTTGTGTTGCTTTTGTTCGGTTTTGATTAGATTAACGAATATATGTAATTGATATGAATATGATTGTAGAAGCACAAGGTTGATCTTTTTGTTTTAGTTTATATATTTAAGGAAGGGACAGTCTAGTTCCTAAATTTCTATTTTTCTCATCCCCAATTTTATATTGAGCACAGATGTTTACCCAAATGTTGTGTGAAAATATTAATAGATGTGTTTTGATTAGAGGTGCACAATGCTAATCATTTTCTTTAACTAGCCCCATAAAATTGGGTCGGCTTTTTTATAACCGTTTCAACTGAACCGTTGATTTGATATATGTTTACACAAAAAATGAAAACTTTTTTTTTTTTTTCCAAATAAACTAGTTTTTTTTAATAAAATTTCACTTTAAAAAAAAACCAAAAACACCAAACCAATTATAACCGAAATCGGTAGAGAAAATCAGATTTTTTAAAATCAAAACCTGTGTAAAACCCGTATTTGTGCACCTAGTTTTGATAGAAATAAATAACCAAATCGACGTAACTCATAATTTTTTTTTTTTAAATAACAAAGATTTTGTTTCGTCTTTTCTTTTATGTTAAAAAGTTAATATGTCGTTTATGGAAAAGCCGTGTCAACTATATACTATTTTATAAGTTTTTTCTATCCATCGTTTTCCCACTTCCATCCAATATAGATTTAAAAAAAAAAGTTTAAAGAAACAATGTATTCCACATTGTCTCATGAAAATAAAAAAAACCCAAAACTGTTCTTAATCAAATAATCCTAACATTCTAAAGACTAATTTCTTGGCTTTGCTTTCAAATCTTTAAATAAATTTTAATCCGAAATTGAAAAAAGACAGATAAACAACGATTGAGGTCCCCCGATTTTTTTGACACCACTAGTCGAGTAGTGATAGTTCAGTCATCAGTGGTAACGCGCAAACGTTTTTTGCATTTTAGTATCATGATTTTCAGAATTTACATTTTGACCCTTTAAGTTTCAATTGTTAAACCACCAACCCCGGCCCAAGGTGAGAGAATATAGTACCTAAAGAGGTAAACGATCACAAATTAGGGCACAGAAATCATCTCATCATCTCTCTTCGTTCACGGAAATCGAATCGTTTGGACCTCTTCACTAGTCACTCATCACTCATCAGCTCAATGACGACGCCTGCAGCGAATGCGACGACGACTACGACGACGACCCAGACCGACGACCATCATGCGAAGACCCTAGACCCTCCTGCCACAACAACCGAAGATGTATCCACCGAGAAATCACCAGCTTCCTCCACCGACAGGAAAGACGGTGATTCCGGTGACACAAAGTTGAAAACTACAGATCCGGCCACCGTCACGGCGGACAACAGCAGCGACGATGGTGCTTCTGTTACCGATACTCAGAGGAAGATTCGCCGTGCGGAGCGTTTTGGTATGCCAGTTCAGCTATCTGAAGAAGAAAAACGGAATTCTCGTGCGGAGAGGTAATTATACTATAGCAGTATTTATTCCTCTTCCTATATTTATACATGTTTCTCATGTAAAGGTTTGTTTATGATAATCTAGGGTTCTGGATTTCTCTTAAGAAGGATTCTCTATACTGAACTAGGGTTTGGGCTTTTCATATTCACCAATTTTTATCATGTAATTTGTTTTAACTTAGGGGTATCAATCACTGCTCTTATGCGCCGTGGCCACTCTCATGCTTTGTGGTGCCCGTTTTCAACCGTTTCAGTCCATGGTTCTTATGGGTGTTTAGTGATTATAATAATGAAGAGAGTAGGGCTAGGGTTTAACTTTCGTACCACGTTATTCAGTTTATTAGAATAACATATATAATTTTACGTTTCTCATTATTTTGATTCTGTTGGGAGGGACGATAGAATAGAAGCAGTGGGGATTCGCTGGAGAATGGTCTCAACTCCATCTGTAGCATACCAAGACATATACAAACCCATAGTCTAATGTCTAACTCAATAGCCAATGTACCTATTTTCATTTATTATCATCCAAGTATACCCCTTAGACCCAAAAACCCCTAACCCAAAAACTTAGTTTTGGTGCCCAGGGATCCAAACAGCTGTTTTGTATTCCTCTTAATCTCTTATATTCCCTTTCTCTCTTCCAATTCATCCTTGAACATGTTTTAAGTCATGAATTTGATATAGAAGAGCATATACCATCATCATATCATCATGTAACATATCTCAACCTTTTTCACGATAGTTAACCCCTTGTTATCATCCTCACATGATCACTCCTCCAACAAACAATTATTAATAATCAAGACGCAAAGTTAGTGATTAATTTTCTTTCAAGACTGTGCCAACATCTCCTAACTTGACAATGGCAACTTCATTTGTGGTTATTGAAATTTCATCATTCATTCATTCCCTATAACATCACAAATGAATCTCTTCTTTTGCCCTTAATTTTTTCATAATTATGACTTTGACCCAAAAATTTGAACCCCAGTCAGTTTCTCATGATAGCAACCAGCTTTTGCGTGTTCCTTCTTTTCTGTTTATGACCCCAGTTTATCCTTAATTATTTGTTTAACTAATTATAATTATAAATGGAAGTAATTTTTAAAGGCATTTGGCTCTCATGAGGTTCCTTGCTAGACTCTCTTGAAGGACTTTTTTGTTTAATTTTCAAAGAAATACTTATTTTAGCTAATTTCATGATTTTTTTTTAATTTTGTTAAAATTACATTATCTATTCACAAAATGACATTATTTTGGCGAAAATATGTGTCATTTTGTGGAAAATCTAGAATTGTTGAAATATGATGCCTGAAAAAGCAATCACGCGAATATGATACCTCATTTAATAAACGTTTTGTATAGTCAATCAGAAGGCTGCTTACAGAGTGTATATATATATATATATATATATATATATATATATATATATATATGCTGTTATTTTGATTGTAAAATGTGATGAGTTATCTAAAACATTTTGTACTTCAGGTTTGGTACTACACCTGGCACACAAGGTTCAGGAGCCACAAAGAAAGCTGAGGAGCTGAAAAGGAAGGCTAGAGCAGAGAGGTTGTTATGACTTATGAGCACATCATCAAATAATAATAATAATAATTTATTATTTTGATTTGTAATCATCAAAATATTCTGTGTTTTCAGATTTGGGATCACCCAAGCACCCGAAGAAGATGAGAAAAAGAAGGCTAGACTTTCTAGGTTTGGTTCAGCTTCAAGTGCTGATCCTCTTGAAGAACAGAAAAAGAAAGCAAGGGCACTCAGGTAATTTACTTACTTTATTAACATAGATAATATATTTTTTTATTGGCCGTTTTGATGAATACTATGAAATATTATTCTTGTACAGGTTCTCGGGGACACAGAAGGCAACTGTTGCTGGCAAGGCTGGTGGAGAAGCTTGATGCCTACCTCTTGCCAGCACTTCTTTATTTTTCAGTGAGACCCTTATTCACTTGAGTTTAACTGTTTTTTTTTCTTGTGCCTTTAATTTAACTCTTTTTTATTTTTTTTTAAATGCAGGTTAGAATTGTGAAATATTTTGATCCCCAAACAACCCTTTTGTTGATTACGGAGTTACAGTAGTAGTTCCTCTTCCTGTGGTATTGGTAAAGCTGGTGTCCCCCCTTGTTAATTGATAGCAATCTCCTCAGTCAGTGTCTTTAAAATTTTTATAAAAAAAATATACAAGGTATTATAGATATGAAATGGTGAGTGAATGAGGTTAGATTTTAAGAGAATATGATTTAAAAGAAGTAACTAGTGCCTAAGGTGGCTGCATTTGAATCTCTAATCTATATTCTCTAGAGTACTAGTCTTCAATCCATGCCATGCTCAATTTCTCAATTTTTGGGGTTTCAAATGCTAGCAATAGCGACAAAGTTGATGCTTCTTGTTTGAAATATATTTTGTCTAAATCTTGAAAAATGGTATTCTCTGTAGTGTTGTAGTTTAAAGCATATATATAAATATTATCACATGATTAATTTTCAGTGTTTTGGTACGCACGTACATCCTCAGGTAATGAGAATTGCATCATAGTAAAAGTAAAACCAACAATCATGGATCTGATGCTAGGTTGGACAATATGCGTTAGTTACTAATTTACTGTTTTTTTTTTTTTTTTTTTTTTTTTCGGATTTTGATATTTTAATAATAAAAGATAGGAAGATCTGATTTGGAGGATTTAAAAGATTTGCAGGAAATGTTGGTTCTATTATGGTGAATCCTTTTTTTTTTTTTTTTTGTGTGGTTATAGTTGTAGGAGGAGATTGCTATTAATTTTGTCGGGGATGCTTGTTTTATTAAGAAATTTAGGGACTGAGAGGGAGGGCTTGTAATTTTTAATCAGACAATGGTTGTGTTTATGTTAATGTATTTATATTGGAACCTAAGAGAGTTGTTGAAATAGGAAATAGGGGTTTTAAGACTAAGATGGTTGTTTGATGATTTCATGCCTTCTATAACCATAAGCTGAATTCTTCAACGTTGCAGCTTGAGGTTGAGTTTGGTTGTTTGTTTAAGCTTACATAATTTGGTTCTGTTTTGATTTCAACTCCTCTCTTTTGGCTTTAAAACTAGAAGAATAAAAAGTCAAAACTGAAATTTTATCTAAACTTTAAACCTTTCATGATAATGTTTCATATTATCAAGTTAGTATTCATATACGAGACCACAAATCCTACTATCTTGTTAAGGTAACTACTGTATTTTGAATCGCTTCATTTTCACTCATATGAATCCGTCTTTCTGTATTTTGGGGTTCTGGTTTTTAGGAGTGAAATGTATCCTCATCAATGTATTCTTTTTATTTATTTTTTATTTTATTTTTTGGTTTTTATAACATATAACTAATTATTATTTATACTAAAAATATTAAAATTTATGGTTTCTAATACTCTCTAAATAGAATAAAACATTGATATAATATACATTAGTTCAAGGACAATCTTTAAAAAAAGTTATAATATTTTGATTATTGGCAAAAAATAACATATTAATTTTCAGAAAAGTCTCAATATTTTGATGGAATAAACAAAAACAGACAATATATCTATGAAACTGCCAAAAAAGATTATTCTGTAGTTTTAGTTGGTATTCTGTTATTTTTTGTAAATAAAATTTGATTTGAGATTAAATCGTAAAATGATCCAAAATATTGAAATTTTATCGAAGATTTTTTTTTACAATTAATTAATGTTTAATAATATTAAAGCAAAAAATGGAGAATTTTGTCTATATGCTTGTATTTTTATAAATACGTCTATATCCTTGTAAATGTATTCTTATAAAACATATAAACTTGCATATATACCTAAATACTTAATTCAATGATAAATAATCTATTTAACAATCAAAAACATTATTTTTAAATTGGATTATAACTAAATTACTAAAATACCTATTTGCAATCATTTCCACAATCAATCTCCTTATTCATGATACGGTTATTCATGACATGATAATGTTTTTTCTAATTTGCAATCACTAGGTTTTACTGATTAAATATGCAATCACTATGTTTTACTTTGGTTTTGCTAATTGAAAACACAATCACTAGGTTTTACTAAAACCAATCGAATATGCAATTACTAGGTTTTGCAACTACAGTTGATTAGAAATATGCAATCACCAATTTTGTTAACGGATTATGCATAATATGAAGTGACAAAGAATATGGGTGACAAATCAGGCAATCGTGTTATATTTTTGTCTAATTGAATATGCAATCACTATGTTTTACTTTGGTTTTGCTAATTGAATACACAATCACTAGGTTTTACTAAAACCAATCGAATATGCAATCACTAGGTTTTGCAACTATAGATGATTATGCAATCACCAATTTTGTTAACCAATTATGTATAATATAAAGTGACAAAGAATATGCGTGACAAATCGGGCAATCGTGTTGTATTTATGTCTGACATGACATAGTTTTATATAACACGAACACGAACACGACGTGATGTGTTGTCATGTTTTTTTTAACTAATATTAAAACGAACCGATTAAAAAATGACAAACACGACACCACAAAGATAACATAAAATAACAATTAGTTTATTTAATTAATATTTAATCATACATAACACAACAAACACGAAAAACACGATAAACAAATGTTATATCATGTCAAATTCGTTTAGAATTTTGAACATGAATACGACATGACACGACGTTTTTTTTACACTTGACATGAACATGAATTCAAATTTCAATTTCGTCTCAATTTCGTTTCGTGTAGTGTATTTTTGTAGTGTCATGTCATCATTTGCCACCCTAACAAAGAATAAAAATTGTTAATAACCATATTGGGACTAAGGATATTGATTATATAATTGATTATAAATGAGTATTAATAATTTAGTTCTAATCTAATTTAAAGATAATGTATTTAATTTTTAAAAAGATCAATTATCATTAAAAAGGATAAATCATTCTTTTTAATTTTTATATGGACCAAAACCACAATAAAATCTATAAATATGAACCACATTACAGTTTTGAACCCACATGAATCAAAACCCAAAAAAACAACAAACCATAAAGACTAAATTTCCAATTTTCTCTTATTTATATGACGTTCTTTTGGAAAATATCAAGACTAAATTTCGAATTTTCTCTTATTTATATGACGTTCTTTCGGAAAATATCCCTCCAACTTGGCATGTGTAACATCATTTTATATCATATTAACATAAATATGTTCACTTGCTCCTATATAATTATTTTTCTGTAAACAAAAAAACACAAAAATGTTTGACATAAGAAAAAAATGAGATGATGCCAAACGAAAGTAACGTTATGGACCAATCTTTGGCTGGTTCGTCAAAAATTACGTCTAAAATCATTACCTAAAATAATACACAACTGTTAAAAATCAGTAATTGATACGATTTTCTTAAAATTTAAAAATAAACAAATTCCAAAAGCAAAAACAGCGACTAGTTTTTAACTTGCTGTGTGTTTAAAAGGGTAAAAAAATTGAGCCACTATTGTCTATTGATTGTGATACCGGTCCAGGCCATGTGGCATGGACTTGGATCGGACACTTGATACAAACTTAAGTTTGTTATGTTTTTTTTTTTTTTTTTAACTTAATTTTTACTTTTTAGTTTAATTATTGCAATTTTAAGTTTGATGTAATATTTTATTTGTTGTGATTCTTATTTATTGTTAGTTTTATATTTAAATAAAGTTGGAATTTTTTGACGAGAATATATAACCCATCGATACTCTAAGAGAGAGCAAATTCTTGTTTATGATTTTGATAAATAATCATTAATCACATAACTTGATGCAACAATAGCAGCAAGAACATAAAGAACACTATGCGGTTGGGACCTCGGGAGTTTACGAATATACAAATAATTATATACTGTACTATATATAATAACAATTTTGAAAAAATATTAATAGTTCTATAGAATAGGTTACAATTAGTAGTTATGGAAGAGACTACTCATGTTTTTCAATGGACGAAATAAATGCATTATGTTACTAGATGCCAAACCAGTGTAGGCTGGTCCAAGTAAATGTCTTAGCAATATTGCCATGCCATGCCACTTTATCATCTAATATTATTTTGTTATATTATTATTTTTATTTATTTATTTATATTTTTTATATTATTATATTTGACAATATATGAATGATAATTTGACATTTATATTGACACATCATTATTGATTGGATGCAAAATAAGCAAATAAAAGAAAAATTAAAACAACTATTTAGTAACTGATAATTGGCTTTTTTAAGGGGTGTTTGAGATTGAGTTTAAAAAATGGAGTAAATTACACGAATGGTCTCTGTGGTTTAGGGTAATTTGCGCGTTTGGTCCTTAACTTATTTTTTTAACTCGGAAGGTCCCTAATGTTTGTTTTTGTTACGCGCTTGGTTCATGTCTTACCTAAAAAAACTATTTTACCATTGATTTTTTAATTTATTTAAATAAACACACCCTCAACCCCACCCCTATCACCTTATCTTACATTTCACACTATTTTCCCTATTTAAATAATAGTCTTTTTAGGTAAGATAGAGACCAAACATGTAATAAAAACAAACAGTAGGGACCAAGCGCGTAACAAAAACAAACAATAGGGACTTTCCAAATTAAAAAAACAAGTTAGGGACCAAACGCACAAATTACTCCAAACCATAGGGACCATTCGTGTAATTTACTCTAAAAAATGATTATTGGCTTATTAGTTTTTTAAAAAAGAGAATAATCTTAAAAAGGTGTTGAAATATAAAAAATGTTTTTGAAAATAATTACTACCCTAAAAAATTAGTTTTTAAAAAGTTATACTCCTATGACTTTTGAAAAATAACTTATAATTTCTTCACTTAAAATGAAAATAATAAATATATAAGATATTCTAAACATCTAAAAAGAACCTATCAATTTATAGCTTTTTCTACTATATAAATTGATCCAAACACCTTTTAATTATTTTTATGTCACCACATGAGTTAATAAACATATGTATCAAAAAGATGTTTGTTGAGTTAAATAAACAATCTCAAACATCCTCTAAGTTGAAATTGTAGTAATCAATAAAAGATTGTAACCACATTGCTATTGCGAATAAAACTCACCGGTGAAGAACGACAATGTACATTGTGATTTTCTCTAATTATATTTATAATAAAAGCGACACGTGTATGAATAATATAGTTTGGCCTTTAAGACTTTTGTAACAATAGTTTTGGTTTGTAGACTTTTGTCACAATAGTTTCATGGGTAAATGTCATTGTAGTCCCACAAACTTTTCCATTTTGGTTTAAAAGGTCTCTATTGTTATTTTTTGGCTTTGTAAGGGCATGAATTCTCTTTTTAACGGCTTTTAAGGCCATTTTCTAGAAAGTGAAGGGGTCACCCGGTCACCCATTTCCCAATCAGCTGGTTATCTTGTACACGTCATTAAAAAAGTCAACTCATTTGCCAAATCAGATGCCACCTAATGTATCGTTAAATGAGATGAACATGAGAGCATGAATTTGGGGGAGAACAACCATGTGGAATCCATCGCCATTATCATCACTTCCCCTCAAAATAGCATTTATCATCTCTTTCTCTCTCACTGCTTCTTCTTCGTCTTACTCTCCCCCAACCCCAACCCCTGTTATCATTCCATCTCAATTCCACAAGTCAACTCCAAGAAACCCTCAGCGACCACCGCTACCGCTGGACTCGTACTCGTCACACCTCAGCAGGCTGTATCCGTCGACCTCCAAGTTGCTGCTGAACTTCAA